TCCCGTCAACCCATCACGCCATCCCGTCATGCCATCCCATCACGCCATCCCATCCCGTCAACCCATCACGCCATCCCATCACATCATAATCATCACATCGCCACAATTTCACCACCCATTCACCAAGTCCAGTATCTGGCCAAACCAGAGAGAGAATCATAGCCTAGTCAAGTTGACACATAAAACCAACCATCAAAGCTGGGAAAGAGGTCTTTTCTCCAGCTCACTGCCTGGGGGCCATCCTCGGTAGGGTGCCTGACGTGGCTGGGGGCAGCCCTGCTGCCCCACACCCTGCGCAGTGCCTGGCCTTGCGGGCCGGGTCTGTCCATAACACACCTGCTGATGTGGCACAGCACTGGAGCTCCATTGTGCTTCTCCCCACGGCAAGCCTGTTGGGACCTGCTCACAGTAGCACTGCTTGTAGCTCTACTTGGAGCTTGTCTCGCTGGTCTAACTTTTCGTTTTCTCTTTCCTTTCAGCCAGAAAACCTGCAGAAGAACTGGCTGCGGGAGTTTTATCAGGTAAGAAACACTCTAGAGGCCTGCTGCCTGCAGACTGAGTACCTGTGTGATGTGTGGGTGTTCCGACTTGACGCGTGACCATCATCTGTGGAGTGCAGCCACGTGGCTGATCATTCAAGGTGATTCCAGGATGTGGTGTCCTGTTACCAACCTGGTCTGGAAAGCCGGGTGGACAGCACATACTGCTAGGACGTGGCATGGGGTAGGACAGCGTTGGTGGGCCTGCACGGTGCTTGGGAGCAATGCCAGCTAGGTGGAGAGTGTGGGCAGTGTGGATACGGGGCACACCCAGCTGGAGGGCACCCAGAGTGGCTTCAGCAGATGCGTCCTAAGCCCCCTGGAGACTCTTCCAGGAGTGTGGGGGTGCTTGGTGGGCTTCCAGCCTCAGGATCCAGGACTTGCAGCAGTTTGAGTCTCGAGCTTGGCCGTGGCATGCCAGTGACATGGGCCAGCTGCTGCTCCCCCGCCCGCCTCCAGGCCAGCAGCTGACCTGTGAGCTCCTCACAGTCCGTCCGGAATCCAAAAGCTCCTCCCTCTCCCCACAAAGTCCCAGCTCCCGGCTCCCAGCCCACCCGCCTGCTACGTTCCCCATTCTCCTCGATAAGTAGACGTCAGTCTTTAAAAATGTGACTCAGATCCTGTCCTCTCCTGCCTCCTGTTAACTCCTGCTTGGGCTGAGACCACAGTCTGCATGGGCCTTGAGGCCTGGGGTCTGGCCCTGCCTCCTGCCCCCTGCCCGCTGCCCCAGCACTGCCCCAGCCCTGCCCCCTGCCCCGGCCCTGCCCCTGCCCCGGCCCTGCCCGCTGCCCCGGCCCTGCCCC